AAAAAGTACTATATTGTTGGTAATGCACAAAACTCCCCCTGCCCCCAGGTTATGATTTTATCTATGGGTAAATCTTGGAAAACTACAATAATTAATTTGCTGTCAGAAGTGATGTATATGAATAATACTATGGTGCACTTTTTGTTCTTTCAACAACAACCTTGAAAAGCAATTTTCCTTGTTTTCTGCATTTTCGTATTTCTTAGCACCAAAAATCTTTCCAGAGTTTTATTCTTGAAAGCTATGCTTTTTATTTTTATGATCGGCTTGTTTGCATGCTGTCTTGCATCTTACTGTCCACCATGAAGAACTGAGAAGCTTCTTCTGCATAAATTATGTGAAACTTTATGCAGTTATTCACAGTTTTGCTGAGCCATGCAACATCATTTCTCTTCTCATTGTGGAAAGCAAAGGGCTCTTCTTTGTAGGAGGTTCATCTTGAATTATTGATGGAATAATATTATCACAGTCACAGTTATGATCCATTTAGGAATGTAACTCAACCAGCTAAAAATACATAATTAATACTTAAATTCAGTCTTGCATGTGAGCACTCTGCCTGTTCTGCACTGTAGCCTGGGTTAGTAGACCTTAGATATTGCTTTCCACAATAAATATAAGGGATAAAAATATCTTTAGGGAACAAGAAGTTAATAGTGTCAGGTATATCTATAAAATAGGCTACAGCAACACTGAAAATATGTTCTAATCTGTCTTTCTTTGCATTTCTGTAGTAGTTGAAGTAATTTCTGTATGAAGTTTAGAAGGAATTTCATGATCTGCTGGCACTGAATTTAAGATGCTGAATAAAAACTATTGTTGCTTGAGATCAGAAGTGTACAAATTTATCTCAAGAAAGTGGTTTGAAAAAATGAATCAACCTGCAGCAAACAGCTCAGATTCATTCCATCAATAATTGCTCAGGGAGGGTTACCACTCAAAATATTTCTGTCATTCCCACTTCTTTGCCTCTGTCTAACCAAAGCCTTCAGTCATAAAGCAGTTGTCTGTGTTGAGATTTGGTGCAATCTCCTCTCTTGGTTTCTTTGTGCTTTGATTTGGTTTGTTTTCTTTGAGAGGTTCTTCAGTCTTCTGAAGCTTTGAGCAGTCACTGTCTTACGCTCACATCAAGTCTGTAACTCCTCGTTGTGTTACGTGGCCCAAAGCCTCACTCCTCCAGTCTTCCCAACAGCCCAGTGTGCGCTAGCTGTTTGCTACAATGAAAACTTCTGCCTGGCATCCTCCTCTATTTGTAGGCTGTTGACCCTAGATCAAAATTTCCAGAAAACTCTTGAATGGCCTCTGCTGAGAAGTTCTAGGCTCTGCCAGAACAATTTGCCTTGCTGTCTTACTTCAGCTGATGTATTTCGCACTGAAGTATGCAGTTAAGTATAATAATGGCCATATACTAGAACAGTTAGCTCATTAAATAGTCACTAAAAAGCCCTTTCAGAATTTTTTTCCCTACGTACAATCCTTACCTGGATGATAAATGCAAAATAAAGAAGCAGAGGCTAAGAACAATATTGTTTTTCTTTTTTAGTCTCAAATATGAAGCCACAGTATTGACTTTTTTCAGATATGCAAGTCAGTGCAGTCTACGATAGCACAATAGAAGAACCTTGTTTAATCAATTATTGTTCAAAGACTGTTTTTTTGGTCTGAATTCTGTACTGGAAAAAAGGCTTAATCACAGGTACATTGCTTAGTGTTGCTGTGCAAAGACTTGAATGATTGACTGAGCCTTGCTCTTAAACATGAAACACTGAATGAGGAGATGTCCCTGAAAAGAGCATGTGGGAGGGTCAGACTAAAACATTTTAGCTTCCTTTTATGCTCCCTTCTGTGCATAATGCATAAACAGTTATTTTTAATGACTTTTGGACCACTGGTCATGAGAAAAATTCAATTTGAAACAAGGAAATAGAGCAAGTAAATGCTATCCAGATTTTTGCATAGAGCTTTATCTTTTGTTGCTTCTGTTTTCAATTGCATATTCTTTATATCACATCATTTTCCAGCCCATCTTACTCTACAGATTTTTTGAAAGGGTCACAATATGATTTTCTTTTTTACAGATACATTCAAAAAGAGAACATCATGAAGATATTTGACATATTTTCAGATCTCTGTAGGAATGGGCATTTAAATATGACTGTGATTAAAGTAAACCTATTTTTTTAATTGAATTTGTTCTTTTTTTCCAAGTTACTGATTTTTCAACAAACAGTGAACAAAACAGTTGAACAATGTATTATTTTCTTGCATAAGCAGTAAGAGATGGACATTTGCCCAGAGAAAAGCTGGACCAGAGTAAGACATCACAGCCCCTTTAGTGTGGGTAATTAATTGCCCTTCTGACAGTGGTTGCCTCTCTTAGCAAGAAGGTTTGTGAGAGCACTCCCTACTATGCTCAGGCAAAATTAGCTGTGTTTGCTTAAGCAATTTCAATAGGCATCTTGAGTTAGTGTGGACCAGAGTGCACTGGGGAGTGTTCATGTGAGCTACACAGCTGGCAGGGCTGTAGTGGGAGGTGTTTTCAGCCAGCAACAATACATGCAGCTGAGAGCTGTAACATTTCATCCACCCCAGTTCAATCCACCAGCCTCCTTGGACTTCAGGCTCGCGCCAACACATGCATCCTCACCATGTGTACCAGCCCAGAGGAAACCATGTGGAGAGCAGTGGGGTCCAAGCCCTTCCTTAGTCACAGGATGGGACACCTCTGCACCTGCTTCTAGGGCACTAGGCGCTAGGACAGAGGTGATTCAGGGACTGGGTTTTCTTCTGTCTCTCCTGTCGAGGCTCTTCCACTTTGCGTAAATGAGTATTCACTGTGCCAGTACTTGGTAAGAGCCAGCAGGTATTGCCAAGTGCAATAGCTTTAAAAGACAGATTGACCTTCTTGGAGGTTACCATGCAACGTTCCAGTCTTTACCAATGGGTAGGAGAGGGTCTGACCCTGGGTTCCCATAACAACCCTAGCCCTCGGTTCACAGAGGCTTCCACCTCCAATTCAAGACTCAGTTCAGCAGAAAAGCATGGAAATGTTTAACAAGTTGAACTTCAGAAGGGGTGAAGGTGGGCGAGGTGGGTGAATGTGACAGTTCCAGAAAAACTTAGGAATGAACTAGAGCTCTGCATAAAGCCACAGTGGCAGAAATACCTATGTACAACTGTGGCAGCTATGCTAGATGGTGAAGGGTTCTTGACTGGAAAAGACCCTGAGCAACCAAATGTGATTTCAAAATTGGCCCTATTTTGATCAGGAGGCCTCGACCAGATGACCACCAGGGTCCCCTTCCAGCCTAAGTTATTCTGTGCCTCTGTGATTCTTGCTGTATTTAGATGTTAGTTCAGACACTGTTTAGATATAGGTTTATCCCAGTCAGTGTGTTGCAATTCTGCTTGTTTGTTTTTTGTGTAATTATAGTGGCAAATACTGTAATAGTCACAATTGGTAGCAGTCACAAATCATCTAAATAGATATATTTTTGTGTAATTGAAGCAAATTGAGAAAATTATCCAAGACTTCAGTCGTAATGCTCAGTGGCATATAAAACTGAGCAAACTGCTATTACTTTTTTGCCATGAGGACCAATATTTCTTTTGGGACAATTCCAGCCAATAAGATAGGTCTTGGGGGTGAGGGGTGGGGTGTTGTGTTACCAAACTTTCTCCTCATCCCTCATTCCCCTTACCCCTCCCAAGAATTTGCTGTAATCTCAGTTTCTCTCCATTTATAAGCCTGATGTGCAAAAATGTCTAATCATAGTTTTCCAGTAGAAGAAACTAGACTTGTCATAGCTGTTACAGAGGGGAAGTTCATGCTCTGTGACTCAGAAAGCAGAAGCTGATAGGGATTTTGTTTTAATTTTCTTGTATTTCATCTTGGCTTTCCTTCAACTTCTCCCTGAACTCAGTAATCTACCTTTTGAGCTACAAACCATTCAGAGTCTGAAATTACTGGCATCACAGTGGCTTCACTAGCTAGACTACATCGGTGCTGGAGGGCACCAACCTTGATTTCTCAAGATGTTCTTTTATCTAAGAAATAAAATTATCTTGGAGAATACATGCCCTCTGTCTAGGGGCTACTTCTCTGAGAAAGGTAAATGGAGACCTTAAGGTTTTTGTTGCAGTATTGGGTAGCACAGAAATATACTTTGTTCAAAGGAGTTTTGGGGCCAGATTTGTTAGTTACTGTAGGTAGATGATGCAGCTCTGTTGAAGACTATATACTAAGATTGACAGGCACATATCTTCTGGAAAAAAATGAGTTATTGTATTTTTAATATTTTAACAGTTTGTTACTAAAGAAAAAGGTTTTAGTGCAAACATCCATGCAGGCATGTGTTTGCTGCCTGCTAATAAAGAGTAACTGTACAAATCCAAATTGTGCCATTAATTGTTGTCTTTGTGACTGAGAGATGAGATCCGAAAGTAGAGGAAGTAAGAAGCTGGCACCTGTACATTGGTGGCTGAGTGTCTGCTATTACATTGTTGATGCTGAGTCAGAAATTGAGTCTGTGAAATGTTAATTGGTTTGCTAGGAAGTAGGTGAGCATTGTGGCTTTAGTTGATTAAGATAGTGCAACATTAAAAAGTGTCAGATGGAGAGGTTAGTTAGACAGACAGATCTGTGTTTAATCATCTAGAAGGGATTACCATTTCAGAAACAGAATTCAGCTTCTTTCATAAAATTTTCAATAATTAGTAAGTATAACTTTTAATTAATGTTTTTTCAGCCTGCAACATGCTAAATTTATTGCTTCCAAGATATTACAATAAACGTTAGAAGTCATAGCAACCATTTTATGCAAAACAATTTTTAAGGAATTTTATGCTAACTTCATAAGAACACCTTCACCATTTTAATCAACATAAGTCACCCAGAACTAAGGGTATATTTCAAATGCAGCTATTTATGCAATGAAGTAATAGTACCTTGAATCTGTTGCAATTAATTCTGTATGTGTTGCTTCTACTTATTTCAACAGGTGACTGAGCTAGAGTGTGTGAGCAGTCAAGCCAATGCCGTCCACACACATAAAACAGAATTAAACCAGACAATACAGGAGTTAGAGTCTACGCTGAAGAAAAAAGAGGAGGTATTTGCTAACATTTTATTCTTGGCTTTTCTGTTATGTCATTTCTAAAGGCTTTCAATATTAAACTTGTGATGGCTGGTTAATACTGTATTATTTCCTATAGATGTTACAAAGTAAAATCAATTTTTCAGCTTCTTTGAAATGATTAATATTTTTCTGTGTATATAATTACATCAGTCCAATATAGAGCTGGGTATCTTAACAACAAAAAAAAGTATCATTTTTTCATGTTTGCTTTTACCAAGCATCTCTCTTTGCAAAAGTAAGTCTGCATTGAGACTATGTAGTTTCTACAGAGCAGTCATCACACTGATGCAGTCCAAATTCACTAAGGGAAGCAGTCATAAGCATGCTTTCCTTTTTCTGGAGAGTAGGGTTTGGAACAAGTAATAGATCAATGTCTTTTTCAGGCCAATCTGTTTTTCAGGCTATGTTAATATAGCTGACTTTTATGATCCCTAAGATCAGTCCTTTTTTTAAATGCATACCAAACCCCCAGCCTGTAACTTGATGATATTTATTGTGCTATGTGCCTTGGGCTGGACCAGCAGCAGGAAAATACAAGGCTGGCATAGGTCCTAGAGGAAAGCAGATTTGTGCCACAGAATGATCGAGAATCACCCTTTTATGGATGGAAAAAGGAGGTGGAAGGAGCCACGTATGAAGGATTGTTTGCCCCATGTAAGACCAGATCACTTGAGCCCTCCATGACAGACACAGTGGGCACTGGTGTGCATGTTCGGAGGGGCAGTGTATCTTGCAGGGTCTTGCCTCCAGTGGGGCTGTTGTTGGGTGTTTCTGAGGAGAATGCATGAGAGGCACAGTAGTTACAGAATATCCTCCCAAAATGGAACAAAGCCTTTTCCAAACTCCCTCATACTTAAGAGATTAGCCTCAGGTTGGTAATGTTTCTCATTTTGGTGCCCATGTGCTTTTGAATTATGCTGAGCTGTTGGATGCAAAGAGATCTTTCTGAAAGGGGTTCTGGGAAGTGACTGTGCCCTTCTGGGGAAAAGTATTTATTAAAGTTTGATACCTTTTAGTTTCATTAACTGTTTCTATTCTTGTCTCCTGAAAGTAAGCTAAGAAAAGGTTTCTCTTCCATTCCTTATTTTATCTATATTTGTTATTTTTATACCTTATTACTTTCTTCTTGCTAAATTAAAGATACCGTTTCTTTTAGACTCTCTTTTTACAGAAATCAATGGTCAAAGCAGGCAATTTTTTGATGCTCAGCCCTGCCGCTAGTGACATAATAAGCAGCTCACAGATGAAAAGCTGTGAAAATTTTCTCTTGAAAAAATGGAGGATAGATTGTAATAGAATTTAAAGTATAAAATTGTTTCTCTAATTACAAGGACTCTTAATTTTCTAGGAAAACATTACTTCAGATCTTTTGGGAGAGAAAGACTTGGACTTTTATAGCAAAGAAAATGTTTATCTGTATTGTTGTTTATTCACAATAGAATTGCTGTTTTGGGACTGTGATTCGGGAATATTGGGAGCAGGGCTTAAACTTCATGTGCTATGATGGGCAGTAGCTAAATGCCAGTTTTGATATCATTGCAATGGCTTGCTCAGGAGAAGCAGCAGCAGCTAGCTTACCTGCACTGAGGCCAAGCCAGGTAACGTGTTGATAGTGAGGTTGTTTCTTCTCCCTTAGGAAATAGAAAGATTGAAACAAGAAATCGACAGTGCCAGAGAGCTCCAGGCACAGAGGGATTCTTTGACCCAGAAGTTACAGGTGAGCTATAGTGTATCATCTTAATTTAGACAGAAGGGAAAAATGATCATCAAGTGAGCAGTTCACATCAGCAACTTGTGCTATATTCACTGAAGGTGCCAGATAAATATGTAAGTTACATTGTGTTGTGAAGTGGTGGGTTGGGATGTTCCTTGGGAATTTGTACCAAAATTTCCACCTGCTGTAAGTCGTTATTTTTTCCTGAGGGAACAGACCCAAATTTCATTTACAAGTCCACAGAATAGGCTTGGGCTGGCAGATGTACTTCATTGATACATGTTCTAGGCAATTCTGGTCTCATTTTCACTGCAGTGTCTTCCCATAGGTCTTGTGTGCCACTGAACTGTCAGGCTGTGTATCATCATGTTAGGATGAGTTTGTATTCAGCTTTTAAACGTGCTTTGAGAAAGGTTAAAGCATTCTTGTGTACTACAGACTTCAAAAATGCACTCTGACATTTTCTTGGAATTAGAATAATTGTGTTTTTCTTGTTTTTTTCTGGGTTGTTTCTTTACTGTGCGTAAAGCCAGATAACTCAGTCTGCTGGAAACAGTATGCCCTCAGTATACCCTCACTTGCTATGTCTGAGCTCCTGTCCTGTCGCTGGGCTGACCAGCCAGCACAGACATACCTTCCTTGTGAAACCTGTCTTCTGAATGAGGCTGATCCAAAGCTTAGTTGGGTTTAAACTCTGAATTCAGACTTCAGAGTTTTGATAGGACTGGATATTCAGGCATTAAATAGCTCCAAATCCAAAGTGCTGAAAGGTGACCCTCGCTGTTCTGCGGCTTGACCTAAATCACTCTGAAAACAAGCCCTGTCAGACTATCCAGAGCTTAAAAATCATTAAGCAGATATTCTTTGAAATCCATTACATGAACTGGAACTTCCTTGAATCTCATTTTAACCTACAGAATAAACCACATAAGAACAAAATGAGTTTATTCATTTTTCCCCATTCTTAAGTCAAATTATTTGGAAAAAGTATGTTATTACGGTATTTCTTTAAAGACTGTTTTGAATACACCTGAGCTTGCCTATTCCACTGTTCCAAAAATTGTTGCTGGCTTTAGACTAAGCATGGGAGTTTTCAGCTGAAAAGGAACTTATCTGAGAGACTCAAAAGGAAGATTATAATGAAAGTTGTTCTAGCAGTAGCATATGCAATAATTTCAGTGTAAGATCACATGAAAAGTAATAATGAGCTGAGAACTAGCTATCCTTAGAATTATGAGAGACTAGTAAGAGATGAAAGATGTTTTAGAATTAGAAAATGCTAAGGTTTTATTAAAAATTATACTTTATAAAGTCACTAGCTTCCTTTTGATATATTTATATCTTTAGTAACCAAATGGATATATTATGTATATGTTACCATATGTCGCATTGTAGGCGATCAGTTTCTGAAAATGGTTCTATATGATTCTATTCAAATAAATTTAAAGCTGTCTTAGGATCCAAGTTAAAAGTTGCCTTTCTTCAGCTTAAAGCTTATTACTGACCTGATGCAGCCCATCTAAAAGATCTTGAATCTTTGCTTTGTTATAATCTTCTTGCTTTGATAATACTGGCTTTCTCTGAGCCACTTCACCCTACATCTGTGATGTCAGTGAAATGGTGTTTTCTTCTGTAGCTCCAGACTAACCATCTCACATCTGTTCACTTAGTTGACTCATCATCTGTTTTCAGGGTGATTGTCTCCAGGGTCCGTATCTGTTTGTCTCACTCTTTTTTCTTCTGCTTTATTTTTTTCCCTCTTGTGTTTGCAAATGGATTATGTAACTCAAATATTTTGGAATATAGCCTGTATGAAAAAATCTATGCAAAGAAATTATTGTTTCAAGGTGTATTACATTTCTGACACACTCATATCAGGGAATGAATTAGAAATACATCATTGGCAAATTCCAGTGAAGAGCAGTATGTTATCACTGTGAAGGGTAAGTATCGGGGCCCTTGTTACTTAATAATTTCATTAGCAATGTAGAGAAGACCTATCAATGAGTCATGATCAGTGTGACTCTCACAGTAAGTCAGGATATCTTTATTACTGTGGCTGATTACTAAATATAGCTGTTGTGTATGGTTTGAATATTTTAATCGGATCCTTGCACTGAATTCCACAAAATATTATTACAGTGCAAACAACAAACATAACGGTAATAATTTATTTATTTCTTTTCTAAAACAAAACAATGTATGACAAATGATTGTGTCTGCTGTAAGAAAAGCTTGAAAAAAACAGTGTAAAATAAACCTTGTAAAGGGCCTGAATGTATCAAAAGAGTCAGTTTAGCGTTAGATGAGATTAATTACAAATAAAGTTAAATGACACAACTAGGGGAATAGATTATATCACATGGACATCTCTCCATTTCTTCCCATCAAGAAGCAACAGTTTTGAGGTACGCTGACTTGTAATAGGAAACTGCACAGGCTGGACATGAACTTGTAATGTGATAAAAATCAGTAATACTAATCTTAGGATGAATATGTGTAAGGATCAAATGTAAAATTTGGGAAGAAGTGTTTTCCAGAAATTAAAAGCAACAGCTCATGGCATATTTCAGTTAGTTCTACTTCCCATAAGTCATTAAATATGTTAAGCACAGGTTAGGGAAAATAAAACAGAAGGAAGTATGGGAGGAAGTATATCTGAGGAAGTGTTTGGGAAAGTTAAATGTATATGGATTAAGAAAGAGATATCAAGAATGGAATATAAATAAAGCACACAAGCTGAAGGTTTAAACAAAAGAAGGGAACTCTTCTGGTTTGAAGAGATACAGGGCAAGGACTATCAATGGAGAGTTAAAGGGAAACACCTTATGCTGAATATCAATAGAAGTTCCTACATCTGACATAAAGCTTTGTGACACAAAGCCACTGTAAAGGTAAGCGGTGTTTAAAAACTGTTAATGTACGTAAATACGAATTCATGATGCACTTTTCCAGAGAACAGCTGCGCAGGGTGTATGGTGTACTAAATACACTGTCCCTGTGCTACCTTTGAGAGTGTTTTTCATAACTGAAATTATGAAATTCAGCATGAATTTATGAGACGTGCAATGAATGAGACAAATAACAATATGCTATTCCAGATCCACGTGACTGCTACATCATTAGTAATTTGATAAAAGAGAGGGCATCCAGTTTGCACAAAGCAGAGCAGCTGTGACCTCCCTCCCATCACGCGCAAGCCAGAGCTGTGAGGGGTCCCAGCAGACAGTGCTCCCCTCCTGCTGGCTGGCACAAGGGGGCTTCTGTTCCTCGTGAATGAGAGCTGAGCTTGCTCAGGGTCAGATCCCCTCAGCTATGTGTAACGTGCTGCTGCTTCGTCTTTCCACCTGCTGTATGGGAACAGCTTGTCTGTACAGCATTGATGGCTCGCACACTTTCCCTGCTCCCACAGCTACACTACTGCAGAGCCTGCAGGTGGGAGCTCCAGGACACAGTGCAACGAGACAAGACATTCAGCTTGCACTTGCTGGTTTAAATTTGTTACAATAAATTTCACCTTGACATCAGTCTTGCTAGTTTATGTTTCTGTCTTAATTTTCAATGTGGGACAGGAGTAAGGTAGTACTCCTCCATCCATAAAGCAGTATTCTGGATGAGCTTCTATATGAGACCATTTAATGGGGACTGTGTGCTTGAGCAATTCATATAGTCTAAATAAAGGAATACTTGAACTTAAATAAACCTTTGAGAAGCTGTTTTCAGTAGGTGGCATATTTCTGAATGATAGAAGCGATAACTTACCTGAATATCACATCCGTTGTTCACTGACTAAATTTTATCCCTGTCCAAAAGTTTCTGTCCTTCAGATGAATTACTGAAAAAAATGGAGGAAATGATAGTGCATATGCAATCCTAATAACAATTTGGGTTCTGGTTTTGGCTTAGTGGAAACTATAAAGGGTCACAAATTGTTTCAAAAACCAGTTGACAAAAACAGCGCACGAATACCAGCAGGAGGTTAGCCTGCTTTCTGTTTGCAGACAACACATTAACATGTTATGTATTTTCTCTGAAGGAAGTAGAAATTCGAAACAAAGACCTGGAAGGCCAGCTGTCTGATCTAGAGCAACGTCTGGAGAAAAGTCAGAATGAGCAAGAAGCTTTTCGCAATAACTTGAAGACACTTTTAGAAATTCTTGATGGAAAAATATTTGAACTAACAGAGTTACGAGATAACTTGGCCAAGCTAATAGAATGCAGCTAAAGAAAATGGGATTTCAGTGCCAATCAGCTTAAAGATGCACTGTCTCTCTTCATAGGACTGTGTTGGGCTCTGCATCAAAGTTGCACAAAATTAGGAAATGCTCCTCTGAGAGGGCTTGTTTTAAATATTGAGTCATATTTCAATGTAAAATTTAGAACTTAGCTTGTAGCTAGTTGAAGAAAAAAAACAACAAACAAACTTGAATTACAAATTACCTCCTTGTACATTATTGGCCATAGATAACTTGAAAGATATTAGCAGTAACTGAATGCAATCCTTTTCTAATTATCAGTGACAGAAGAATTAGCAGTGTCCCAGGTCACATCCCCTTTTTGTGATAGATACAATATAGGTTATCTGCTGTTTTATTTAAGATATTTAATCGCTGTGTTTTGTGCAAGAACTTAGTGATGACAGCCCTGTATTTTGTTGTTCTTAATAATTTCTCAGGATACTTTGCACTGTGGAGAAGCAGTGCCATTACCAATTTATTCTTGCCAGGAGTGAGAGAGAGTTGCATCTTTAATTGAAACAAAGTTACTATAACTGCTTGTATAAAGTTCTTCCTTTTGGGTTTTTTTTGGTTGATTGGTTGGTTGGTTGTTTTCTGGGTTTTTTTATATATATATAGATATATATATATACTGGAAGATACCGTATTTCTTTATGGAGCTTACTCTGGTGTTCTACAATATTGTCCAATGTAAGGTTTACTTTTTCATATGAATTCCATGTAATTGCAGTGAGATACTATCTTCCACTTAACTATATTTTGAAGCCAACCAATGATGGCAGGTGAGTCCCCCAGGAAAAAAAAAAAAAAAAAGAAAAAAAACCCTTAGAATTTTAAATGTAAAATTTAACAGA